CACTTACATATGGGGAACTGGCGCAAGAAGAAGCGAGTAACGGTTAACAACAGTCGTATTTTTCATCACCACTTCAGGATACCCTTCACCACTTCAGGATGCAGCCTGCTCAAACAGGTGGTTTTCAGGGTCTTCGGACCTTTCACCACTTCAAGACTATTCAGGTCTGAAAATCCTGAATGGTCCTGAAGTGGTGAAAGCTCCTAAGACCCTGAAAACCATCTGTTTAGGCAGACTGCATCCTCAAGTGGTGAAGGGTGGTTTTCATGGTTTTCGGACCTTTCACCACTTCAGGACCATTCAGGATTTTCAGACTGCCAAAAACTCTCACTTCAAAATTTTAATTCCTGAATTTTCAGCTACCTGATAACCACTTGTGGAAGAAGCCCAATTCGTGTACTCAATAGTATTGGATGAAGTGCGGGTAGGTACTACCTCCGCAGATAGGTTTGCACCATAAGAAGTGCAAACCTGGGGAAGTTGAGATAGGTTGATAGGAAGTTGCGACTAGAGCAACGCTTTAAAGATTCTTATGATGAAGACGGGTACTTCATCATTCAAGGGACATAAAGAATCATTGTTGACCAGGAGGACAAAGTAACCAACAAAATTTGGAAGCAGACCCCCGTCCTCGGCGGGGTAACCAGTGCTTCAATTGTCTAAATCGGTCGCTGACTTGTATAGTGGTAGCCAGATTACTTGCAGATGACATTCACACCCAAGTTAGAGTGGAAACGTAGTCATCACTAGAACAATAACATCTTAACTTTGCTTGGAAGTTGGGATGTCAGCCATTTCTTTGCTAGAATTCAGTATGGGATGCCAGCCCAACCATTTGGCAAACAAAGTAGAGATGATTCGATCAGACGCTATTCAAGCGTCGCTATGCATGTTAATCGTGCTTTTATCCTTTTGTTGACAAATGTTATTTGAAGTCGAGTCAACTCATCATGTTTCATCGTTGAATGACAAGCCAAATCAGTTTTTGTCGATTTAATCTGAACGAGTGGTAGGCATGATTGCAATATGTATGTATCGATTTCATACGATAAGTCAACTTACATTGACCCGAATTTTGTTTTGGAAGTGTTTTGTCTGATTAACTCCTGATTGTCTTTGGAAGAAGGGAATATGATCGCTCGAAGTCTTTTCTTACACTTGGAATATCACGTTCTAGTCGACCGGCGTACGTTCCGATTCCTGGGAGATCAACGCCCCTGGGACGAGCGACGTTCGGGTCCATTTTGACATTCAACCATGCGTACCTATGCTACAACGAATGAGCAAACACCCTTGACCGACCTACCTCTGCAATTGCATTATAAAAGTCTTCGCATGTGGGTCGGTATCTTGACGGGGATACGCCCCTAAGAGTGGTGACAGCCCCTTAGGGAAGGTAAGTTGTGCCCCGCGAGAACCTATCCTGTCGTAGGGGACCACGGGATGTACAGTTGGCGCACTCGACCGGAGCGGCGAAGGGTCAGCGTGGGTTACCGTGTCGTCCCGAGTTGTCTCCAAAAAGTTGAAAGCCTAAGTTTCTCCTGCGTGATGCGGCCGGCAGGGCCCTCGCTCGCGCAGAGGCCAATGCGCTCGACAACGAGCATAAAAATATTATAAACGATTGAGGGGTCGATTGGGTTAATGATATGTCAGCCAAGCCTACGACAGTCCCGAAAACTTAAGTGTCGGTACGTGTTTTAGTCGGACTAAATTAGTATAGGCCCCGACCGTATGGCCGGGGCAACCATTAAAACCTAAAAGCCCGCGACAACCAAGCCACAACACTCGCCGGAACTGCATTCCTCGCAAAAAACGAGGGTTGGGCTTGGGCCACTGGTTGGGCTCAGCCCACCACTCTACTTATATCAGAGTTGCTCCCCTTCTACCCGAAGTGGGAGCTAGCTCAGTAGGTTTCAGTGCGGGTTGAGGATGAGAGGATCCGAGGATCGAATCCATCTGACCTCTGAACTAGCTTCATTTTAGTAAGGAGTTCAGTTTCAGCCCCACGAGGGCTGTTATTTGGCCCCGTGTTAGGACGACCAGGGCTTGAACCCGTGACCTCTGCAATATACGTAGTTAGGAGTCGTTTAGGCGTTCTTTCGTGGGACTTGAACCCCACAGTGTTATGCTGCCTTTGTATAACAACGTAACAGGGTAGTTGAAAATTAAATTCTTTTTCTTGAATGTTTTTTTTTTTTTTACTACTTTCTTTTAATTTTACTTTTGTTATTTCGTAGTTATTTTGATAGTCTTACTTTAATGAATCTTTCGTGGAATCCATGACAGATTCATCGATAGAGGGAATAAACTTACCGGTCATTACGGTCGAGGTTCAAGCCACCCTCGAACTCGCACGGAGCCTGAGTTCGAAACTGTGACAGTCGCTCGAGGGACCAAATCGTCCATCGCGTGGGAAAACCTCTACATGGGGATGATGTCGAGGAAGACAAGGCGTGAAGGAGAGGGGCATGCAAACGAAGATGGAGAGGACAAGCACGACGAAGATGAAAGGGAAATCGGTGGTTAGTGAGGCAAAGGAAAGCGGCACGAGGTAGAAAGGGAGAATGTGTTGCCAATGGAAGGAGAACCACCAGGAAGAGGAGGGTGACCACGCAAAAGAAAGGAGGCAGGAGGCGACTAACACAGGGATGAAGATGAATAAAGCAAACAACCGAGGGATGATGAGCGGTTGGACAACGACGGGAAGATGGTGAATGAGCGCAAGGGTAGCGAGATGGAGGTGAGGAGCAAGAAGGCATAGAATGCGTGAAAGAAGAAAAAGAAGGAGAAGGAGAAGGAGAACAAGAAAAAAAAGATGGGGGGGAAAAAAGAAAGGGGAGAAAACAATGGAGAAAATGAGGGAGAAGAAAAGAACGACGTACCAGGCCATGTTGTCGATGATGACAATGTTTCAAGTGTAGATTTTGGAACCTTGTACTTGAGATACGAGGGAATCTTTGCACATGCTTGGGTGGTTTCCAGTTTGCGAAGGACAGATGAGTCATTTTTTTATCGTTTCGGTCGTGCATCTGCTACTTGTCATATGCGAAGGTGAAGACTTGCCGAATGGGTGATGCATCCACCGATGACGTCGTAAGGTTGACCGTCATCCGCCCGACTTGTTGGGATGCGCTTATGTGCCTGTCGTGTTCTCCATGCTGTGGTCTCGACATGTTGCGCATTGTGGCAAATCGTGTTGCGAGGCAACCGATAATTTTCCAACGCCTCGGCCAACCTCATGCTACTTCCATCGATAGAATGAACAATATCGAATGAACCTACAACTAGATTATAAAAATATACACTGCCACACTTGTTTGTTTG